TTCTGAATTGGAATCTAAAGAGAGCAAATGACTGAATAAGCCCTCTCTGATGTTAGTCACCTTTGGATTTCTGGTGGAGTTCTGCAACATTCAACTTCGCATTTGTAACGTCATTCTTCCCTAGTTTTCTTCTTCATTCTTCACTTGTGTAATTTTAATTTAAATCCATAAATGTACATCTCTCCCTATGTAACTATTGCCAGAGAGAAAGCCCAGTCCTTTGGAAATATCAAAAGACAAGGCTCTAATCTTGGCTTTTCCACTTAATGGTTGTGCAAATTTTGGAAAGTCATTTCACTCTGTGAGCTTCAGTTTCCTCACCTATAAAGAAAATGGCTTAGATTATCTTCATGGTTCCTTCCAGCTCTAAAATGTAATGATCTTGTAGCTTATTTATATTTTTTCCAAAGTCATTGATAAAAATTTAATATTACTTGAGCACTACGTACAGACTTTCTTTTAAGTTGTTCTCTTTGAATATATTTAACTTTGCCATTCAACTCCTATCACTTTCCCTTTTCCATAAGAGTCCAAGTAATGTCACTAACACCTTGTTGAAGTCCTGGTCCAACTCTTCCCTAAACGGTTCAACTAATGTTGACAAGATTCTAATGGAATTCACTCTTAGTGACTCCATGCTGATTTCTAGTAATTGCCTTGTTTATTTCTTAGTGCTTGCATGCTCTGTATTAGAAAACTCTGTTCTAGAAAGTTACAAAAATATATCATGCTTATAGATTTATATTTATTCTTGATTTATATTTCCTTAATATGCTCTTCTTCCTCCCCTTTCACTCTCTGGCAGTCCTTCCATTATTGAGCTCTCAAAGATTATTGATAGCGATTCCATAATTTAATCTGTGATTTCTTCCAGAACCCAGAACTGGAGGCAAACCAATTAATATGATTATGGGCTTTTCTTTCAGTCTTTTCTCCTCTTTTGGTGTGAGATAACTTTTTCGTATTATTGTATTACCATTTCCAGGTTAGGAAACATTCTCACTGGGGAGAATGAGGAAGCAAGCAGGACTGGACAGTGTCTTTCATTTACTCACCTGGCACCAACTTCCCCATCCAGTGATGCTCTCTCTTCCCACCACATCTTCCCCTGAAACATAATTTTAACACAAAACAGTAACAACAAAAATCACTCTGCTCCATTTTCGCGTTCTGTACTGTAGACTCCCTAATTACTATAGCCTCACGTAGATATTTTATGTTGTCCATGGGGACACAAAGAACCCAGCACACCTAGAGCACCCAGCCCTTGTCACTAGTTCTTTTAACATTCAAATGCCCAGTGCAGCCTAGGAACGCAGTGCCCTCTTTGGAGATTTTGCCTTTCTGTCTTGTTGAGACTATTCTGTATTGTCTGAATTGTTTTTTAGGTCTTCCTCTCTCGCTTAAGCTCTTTAGAGTCTCTCTACTTTTGAGAGAAGTATTGTGAATAGTAGTATGAGAAGTATCTCTATACTTTTAAAATGTTTTTTACTAAAGCAGATATAACTGGATCCTGTTTTTCCTTCCTCCACTCCTACTAATAATATAATTGGGCAACTTTCCTCCAAAATTTCACATTACTTCCCCATCCTAAAATGGTTCTTCTTTTATTTTTAAAATGATGTCCAATGTAGGAGTCCTCCTTATTTCTCTCATGCTTTCTCAGAGAAACCATATGGCCAATAAAGCAAGACAGGAATGTTTTAGATGCCCAATTTTCAGACAAATGAAACAAGAAACATCCAGCTGATAACTCTCTGGATATCCTCTAACCCTAGTGTTAAATTTTATGTTAAAAAGAAATTTTCTCTTAATAGCACTTAGGCAATCCACAGTGTGCACCACATCGCTGCTTCGCTTCCTTTCTCCTCTTCTTCCTACCTGCCTTTCTGTGCTTTGAACCTCAGATTCACAGTCACACAGGAGAGGGCAGACAATAAGCTAGGAGAGGAGAGCCATGATGCTTAAAGTCAAAAGACTTGCTTCTAAATCTTGATTTTGCCCCGACTTTCTAATCGTACGATTATGAACACGTTTCTTCATCTCACAGAACTCAGTTTTTACATCTCTAAAATGCAGATAATAGTAACCATCATAAAAGGCTGTTGTGAAAATTAAAGGAAAAAAACTATATATAAACACTAGTACAGTGGTAACTGGTTTTACAACAGAATAAATACATTTTTTAAATGCATAATCCAAACTATGACCTTTATTCTTCTCTAGAAATCAGATTGGGGTGAGTAAGGGAGGGAAAGGAAGAGAGATTTATAATTTCTGATTTCTGTGGTGTTTCCTTTTTACATGAAGCATTTTTACTCTTATAATCTAAGGAAACGAATTTTTAGAAGGAATGGCTCACCATGATAAAAGTGTTTCAACACTTTGTCCGATGATTCAATGCAGGTGATACAATTGAGATTATACTTACTTCCTTATTAGCGTTCCATTCTCATGTTTCAGCTCACCAAATGTGCCTCCTTTTTCTAGAGTAGGTTGTAGTCTCCTCATGAAAGACACAAATACACAGAGACACACACACATATAGATAGTATCTTTAAAATGAGGGCAATAATTGCAGTTTTATTCTAACCCCCACCTTCCCGCACATGCTACAGTTCATGGTACCTCTTCCCAGTACAGAGAATCTTTCCCATGTTGCCATATTCTATGCCTACCTCATTCTCTTGGATAGCCTGCCTTGTTTGTAAGTTGTTCTCAGATATCCTAGAAAGATAGACACGAAAGACACGAAGTCAAAGGATCCTATCAGTCAAAAGACAAGAGCTTCTCATGACTTGTACCCCTCTGGGAGAAGAAAGTTTCAGCAGTTTAGGATCTTTCCACTGTAGTGCCTAGCTGCCAGAAAATTACGTCTCTGGGCATCTTTCAGGTCCTTTCATTCTGTGCCTCCCGGAGAGGTTCAGGTCCTAATGAATGTAACTTGAGGATGAGAAAACTATAGCATCAAGAAGAGATGGCCTCTCCAGTGCTACCCAGAAACTCTACAATCAGACCAAGCCTATGCACAGACAGGGCTCTTATCACCAGTCTGCCACAGTGGTACATAAATCCAAAGGAAACCAGGTACTCAGAACAGAAGTAATGACAGTTCTGGCTCAGTGCCATCTCACTCAGGCTGAGTAAACAAGCAAGACTCCTATGGTCAAATGAATCAGTATAGGCCATTTTGTCCAGGGTCTCCTGGTCCTGAGGACTGAAGAAATAAATGGTATACTAGCCTTCATCCACCCACCCACCCAACCATCTATTTACCTCTATTCCCCAAAATTCACTCGTATCCTTGAATATTAAAAAAAAAAAAAAGTCTTCACCAAATGTAAGAAAGATTTGGATCCTAAATTTGCATTATATTGCATTCTTAGTGCCAGATTTTCTAGCTGTTCTATTTGTAGCTAAGTGAGAGGTACCAGGATTTGAAAAGATATAGAAAACATTTTCGGTAGCTCTGTTGGTTTTAATAGCAGGCCAGATCTCCAAGAACATGCTGTGTGGCTGTGTATGAACTTGGCTGTTGGTTTCCTTTACCAGATGAAATGATGATTAATCAGGATTCAGATGTCAGTTGTTTTATGTTACTTGTGCTCTTTGCTAACAGCTGCCTATTTCAAGCTGTGCTTCCTACATGTCAAATATAACCCTGAAACCACAATTTCCAGAAGGAAAATTTCAAAGTACTCATAGAGTGCTTCAGAATATTCAGTGTTGTTTCTGATTAAAGTCCACTTAGTATATTATGTAACTTAACTAAAGTCAGTATAAAGACAGAAGTGTTCAGAATATGAGAGGTAGCGAGGAAAAATAAAAACAAACTTATTATTTGATACACAAATAATCTGTGTAGATATTTTAAAATATATATTTATGCAAATACTCTATGCATAAAATGCTCCTTAGTAAGCTAGTGTCACTTTCCTTTTTTATTCTGTAATAAATAAAAACAGTGAAATATTATTGATAGGTGAATTATAAGAAATTTAAATTCTCAGGGCCAGCCCCTGGCCTAGTAGTTAAGGTCAGCACACTCCATTTGGCAGCCTGGGCTTGGTTCCTGGGTGAGGACCTACACCACTCATCAGCGGTCGTGCTGTGGCGGCAACCCACATACAAAATAGAGGAAGATTGGCACCGATGTTACCTCAGAGCAAATCTTCCTCAGCAAAAAAAAAAAAAAAGAAAGAAATTTAAATTCATTCAGAATAAGCTTTAAACATTTTGGAGTAAATGGTTCTTTCTTGACAAGGTTCTCAGTACTTGCTTATTTGCTTTTTAATAAAAAATACCATAAGAATAGCATTCATATGCTTCTCTTCACATAGTTTAAGCAGAAACTAACTTTTAAAAAGAAAAAGAAAACAAAGAAAATGTTTGTCAAGCATTTCAGAAGTTTAGAAAAGGGTATGCCCAAAATTTGGGGTGGACCAAATAGAATTGATTTTTTTTTTACTTAACCTAGATAATAAATGTCTAATTTGGACTGTCCATGTGGCATACAGTTCCCAAATGAAGCTCTTTCAGAGACTGCCGTTTTTAGCAAAAGAGGGGGAAGTGAGAATTAGACAACACCCAGGCTCTTTCTATACAACTGCAGCCAACTTGTCTAAAAACCGAATTTGGCCAATTCCCTGTAGTTCATTGTTTGAGCTATTTGCAGGAGCCAGAAAATTAACCACCACAAGGACACCTGAACAGGATTGATCTTAGTCCAGGGTCTACCATAAAGTCTAGGAGAGAGAGAGGATTGCCTTCTCATTTCTCTACTAGTCTTTTCCCAAAACATAACCTACCTGCTTTGAACCTGCTCCCTAATATCCCAAATATAGTATCCAGGGAAGCAGCTGTCAAAGTGTCAAGAAAAGTTTAACGATATAGAGGTTGAAAGGCAGCTGGGTAAAAGGTCTGGTATTATTCATTTTCTACGTCCATTCATTTACCTCTGGGTTTCTAAACTAGGTACTTCCCCTTTCTCCCTCCCGCAGGTGGCAAACCTGCTACGCCTCTTCCAGATCCCTCAGATAAGCTACGCGTCCACCAGCGCCAAACTCAGCGACAAGTCACGCTATGATTACTTTGCCAGGACGGTGCCCCCTGACTTCTACCAGGCCAAAGCCATGGCCGAGATCTTGCGTTTCTTCAACTGGACCTACGTGTCCACTGTGGCCTCCGAGGGCGACTATGGGGAGACAGGAATCGAGGCCTTCGAGCAGGAAGCCCGCCAGCGCAACATCTGCATCGCCACAGCCGAGAAGGTAGGTCGCTCCAACATCCGCAAGTCCTATGACAGCGTGATCCGTGAGCTGCTGCAGAAGCCCAACGCGCGAGTCGTGGTCCTCTTCATGCGCAGTGACGACTCGCGCGAGCTCATCGCTGCAGCCAGCCGAGCCAACGCCTCCTTCACCTGGGTGGCCAGCGACGGCTGGGGCGCGCAGGAGAGCATCATCAAGGGCAGCGAGCACGTGGCCTACGGCGCCATCACCCTGGAGCTGGCCTCGCAACCTGTCCGCCAATTTGACCGCTACTTCCAGAGCCTCAACCCTTACAACAACCACCGCAACCCCTGGTTCCAGGACTTCTGGGAGCAGAAATTCCAGTGCAGCCTCCAGAACAAGCGGAACCACCGGCGCGCTTGCGACAAGCACCTGGCTATCGACAGCAACAACTATGAGCAAGAATCCAAGATCATGTTTGTAGTGAACGCGGTGTATGCCATGGCCCACGCCCTGCACAAAATGCAGCGCACCCTCTGTCCCAACACCACCAAGCTTTGCGATGCTATGAAGATCGTGGATGGGAAGAAGCTGTACAGGGATTACTTGCTGAAAATCAACTTCACAGGTAAGCAAGGAGCCCTAAATCATCTTCTATGGTGCAAACAGGCGGAATCAAACAGGAATCAAATACCTCTGCCCCCAACCCAGAAACCATTGTTTCAGAGCCATAAAAAGGGTTTAAACTGTTAAATATTCCAAGGTGCAATATAATGCCTCTTTGATGTTCTTACTTATTTTTGAGTGAATATCTTGGCTGGTACACTACATGAAATTGAAAGGCCTCTTAGGCTGGGCTGATCTGTGCTAGCTGCCTAGATGTGGGTAAGCTACATTTGCTTTCTTGTTGTTAGCTGTAGGATATGACGTGCATGATATGGGCATTTAATCTTCTTTAGCAGACTTGGCAACTCTCTAAGGAACGTGAACTTCCAAGCCTTCCTTGTGGGTGATTTAAGCAAAAGAATCTCATAACTTTCACAGCAGGGAAGAGAAAAAAGTCACCATTTTCCCAAAGCCTAATTAGGGGAAAAAAGGAAAAGATACTCAGGCCAGGGTGATTTGAGGCATTTGAGTTTACTTCTCCTGCTATACAGAAACATTTTCATGTCAGTATTAAGAGTTGTGAATTTTCTCAAATTATATTATGAAATGAAACACCAGTTTTTCTGGGAGCCTGAAGATAAGCAAATCAAAGATTGATGGAAGTCATTCTGATACAGAAGTGAACATACAAAGATGTATTCAAAGTGGTTTTTGCTGCCTCTTCATTTATTTCTAAATATTTCTAAATATAGCACTGCATTTTAATGCATTACTAACATATAAAAAGCACAAAATCCTTTAATTTGTGTTCTCTACTAAGGTGCATGTGATACCAGTGCATTAAGGTACTAGTTCTGGGGACTTTAGCTTAAACCCAAATCATAAGATGGTCAGTAATATTATTGAATTCAAAACAATTTGATACCAAAAATATTACAGTGATAACATGCTTTCATTTGCCTAAATTGCTGATAATCTCCTGTGCCACCAGGGCATCCTTCTAGTCTGCACAGGCTGTTTCAATTGATTTATCATCCAAGGCAAGAAAGTTTGGATGCTCGAGTCATACTATCATTGGAGCAAGTGGCAGTTCTCACATCTTCCTTATAGATGATCACTCAGAAGTCAAACGGCCTGAAAAATCACTGTAGTACTAAGAAAGAATCCCATGACCCTATCCCAGAATTCTAACCCCTAAACCAGCCTTGAAAATAAGCACAAAAGTTACCAGCCTGCTTTTACACATCTTTTCTTCATTCTACTCAGAGGGAGCCAGAAGTAGCAGAAATCAGTTATGTCAGTATTCCCTCCTATTCATCCGATGGATACCATCTTTTACCATTAGAATGACTACTGTAAGTGGTAAAGATTAAACCTTTTCTGCGTGCTGTATTCTCACAGGTGTATCCTACATAGAAATAACAAAAAATATATTAAAATAACAACAAATCAACATTTATCTCAAAATTCCAGATCAGTTCCCACTGACATATCCAGGAAATAAGAATTGACTTTAGAGTCAATAAAAAAGAATATCTTTACTCTAAATATAAATGAACTCTCAGATATCTATAAATAACATGTATAATGCATTTAATTCTTAAAGATGAATGAAATAAGCATTCTCCTTCCCCTTTCAGACTACCTTTGGGGTAATCATTTATCTTTATTCACTACATGTATTAATTAACTTTATTCTTCTAGTTCATTCCTTACTCGTCAGTATGCAAATATACAAATATACCCATTTATCAACAGCTAATATAAAGAGAACTCTTAAACTTCAGAGAGCCCTTGCAAGGTGTTCTATGAAACCAAAATATTTTCCTTCATTTCACTGACTGAGTCTTAAATAGCAAAGAAACGTAAAGAAATAAGGCCATTATCTGGATAAATAAAACAAAAGTGTCTTCTTTTCGTCTGCCTTGTTCAATTACTAGCTTTGCTTCTACAGTTCGGTTTGGCTGTGCAGACTTGACCACAAAGTGCTATCTTATCCTTCTCAATTTGTTCATCATTACCAGTCACTCCCCATCTCTGAAGAGAGTAGAAGAGTGGAACACAGATTTAAACTACAGAAAAGAGAGGGAATTTAGACGGGCCAGCAGGTAGATATGCTTCACAGTGAGAATTGGACAAGAAATTGCCTTACTGCGGGAGGACACTGAATAGCTAGACACGTGCCTTAAAAGAGATAAGGCTAACCTAGGTAGCTATTGAAAAGCAGATTGTTTTACTTTTTTTTCTGAAATAATTTCTCTGTTTTTCTAACTTGAATATTGAGGCAATGGACTAGGCACAGTTGTAAACACTTAGCAAACACTAAAGAATCTTTGCTCAATTGGGTCAAAAAAGTCCCCTTCCAGCCTTCTACCTGTCCTCAATGCATTTACTCCAAGATTCTTCTGGCAAGGGATAGTTGTAGGGAATTCCCTATGAGCTCTAGTCTGTACAAGATGAAAGAGCTAGGCCTCCTGACAGTTTTCAGGACACACTTTAAAATACTGCTTGGTTCCTTGGTGCATTCTTACTAGCTGGTTTTAGCATTGGCCAACATGAGTATTTCTTAAAGTTAACCCAGTTTGAATATTCCTTTTGCAAAAGACATTCTGCATAACTATGCTTTGTTACAGATTCTTCTAAACAGTGAGCTCTCCTGGCACAGGATTCACCACTATCTACCTCTCTAGACTCATCTCCTGCCATACACCCCACATTTGCCCTTCCTTCCATTAAGACTACTTGCAGTTCCCCAAGTACATCATGCCTTTATTGTTGCCTTTGTACTCTCTGTACATGCTATTTCCTCTAACTAGAACACTCTCACCTCATTCCCATCTGCCCTATCTAGTATCTTTACTTATTCCATCAACTGCTACTACGCTCGTCCATGCCACCAACATCTCTAGCCTACATTTCTATAACAGTCTCCTTATTGATTTACTCTTGCCCACCTCCAACCCAGCCTCCACAACCCATTCTCTGCATAACACCCAGGATGCCCTTTTAAAATGTAAGTCAGAGCAAGTCACTCCTCTGCTCAAAACCTCTTGGGGGGTCCCCAATTTCACTTACAGTAGCAGTCACCATCCTTATAGTGTCCTACCAGGCGCTACCTGGTCTGCCCACTCTCCATCCCTTACTGCTCTCCTGTCATCACCTTTTACTCTCCCCTTTCTCACTTCACTTCAGCCATCCTTGTTTCCAAATTAAGGGCTTTTTCACTGCCAGTTCTCTCTGCCTGCAATGCCCTTTCCCCAGATATCCCTATGGCCAATTAATTCCCTTACTTCCTTTGAGGCTTCACTTAAATGTTAGCTCCTCAGTGAGGCCCACCTCACAATCTTTCTTAAAATTGCAATGTACAGCCCCAGCCCCCACCACAGGTGCTTCCTCTCCCTTTAACCTGCTCTAGTTTATTTTTACACCATAATTTTTTCACTTTCTCTCATACTACATCAGTTATTATTTTCTATTTTATTCTTTATTGTTTGATCTTCATACTCGGATATAAGTTCCATGAAAACAGAAATCATTATCAACTTTGTTCACCAATGTAGCCCAAGCATAATAGGTGCTCAGTAAATATTTGTTGATTATGGATAGTACTTAACACCCAAACTCATATTTGCTTCTCTATTTCCATTACTAGATTGTGAGCTTTTCCAAGGCAGGGAAAATACGTTTCATCTCTGATCTCAAATATCCAACACAGTTTTTAGTAGAGTGGGCATTATGTAAATGTTTACCGAAGGAATAAGGAATGAGAAAAAAACAATAGGTTTATAATGGTCCTTGTTGTGAAAATTTAATGTATATATGTTTTGTTCATTATTAAATGGATTTCAAGAAAGAAAGTATATAACTTCTAGAATGGTTTGCTTTTTGTTACCTAAACACTGTCCTTTAGTTCTGTTCTATCATTGTATTTGAGATAAATTTAAAATCAAATAGCATTAGCGCTGGATCTCTTCTCCATCATTGTTTTATAGATGAAGCCCCCAAACTAAAAGTCATTTGCCCAAGGTCATCATCTGGTTAGTGGCAGGGGCCAAGACAGAAACCCAGGTCACCAGATCCAGTGCTGCTTTTGGATGGACACAAGGACCCTGGGAAATTGAGGTCTTTGATCCCAAACACCTAAGACAGTTTCTGACAGAAAATAGATATTAATGGGATGTTTATTAAAGGAATGAAAGACGATCAATCAATAGGTTTGAAATATGTTTCTTTTTGTGTTTTTTGTTATGATCCCTTTAATGTTCCTGAGCCACTTCCCTAATTATTTGGAGCTAAGGTGATTCATAAAACACTCAAACTTTGGAAGCTGAGCCTTAGCTTCTAAACTTTAGGATATTTTTTTTAAGTTTCAAAGCATTTTTTTATTAGTAAAATTTTCCATCTGAAAGAGCCATGTCATCCAAAATTCTAAAGTAAATACTTAAATGAGAATTGCTTGGTGTCATGTGACTTTTCAAAATTACTTTGAATAAAAATCCATGTGCTCATCATGTAAAAGGAAAGCTTAAACTACCCAAGACAGCTAGAAACAGAGCAAAGAGGGCTATTAAACATTTTTTAAAAATGCTCTGTTACTGTCATTTTGTGTGTTCACAGTACAATACAATCTCTCTCACTTTTTATTCTGAGACCAGTTCCAGAAAGTGGAATAGAATAAAATCACAGAGTTACATAAGGCCTTCCTCAAAGTTGAACTTGCCCCTACTCCTCAGTGACAGAGGTGGAGATTCAGGATGTCAACATCATTATCTCCAGTTACTGAAGCACGTAAAACTCGACTGTCAGGGTGACATGGTAACCAGAGTATACCTGGTTCAGAAGAAGAAACAAAGAGCTCCCACTTACTGAGCATACTGCTGGAGGTGCCACAAGACACAACAGTGTTGAGTAGGCATTATTTTAGGAGTAACATTCATAACATTCATCTGTGATTCACAGGGGTAGACTAAAATGTTTGAAAGTGGAGAAATAGAGAACTTGACACAATAGGAAATTTACCCA